GTCCAACTTAATGCAATCACGTGTGAACTACTGTTATGCATTGGTGTTTTTAATGTGAGACAGCAGTTACCAGTCCTGTGTGAGATAATGAGCTGTTATGGTCACAAACATTGCAGCATCACGTACCCAAGTTCCACTATCCTGAGCAAATTTGGAGATAGTTCTGTTAAGCTAAGGGTGCACAGTGTGTTTGATTTTGTTTTGTTTGTTTTCCCTGCTTCTCGTCAGTTGAGCTGATTTATCTTTGCAGTCCTTGCCTAATGCCATCTTGGGATCTTCGTAGAATTCTATTGTAGATTTCTTCTATTTTACTGCCATATGACACTCTCTCAAATCATGTGTCGTATCAATCTCATGTCTCACTCTTATAAAAATGTTACAAAAATGTTTTACCAACTTCCTTCCACACACTTACAGTTGCCTCTGCTGACTTTACTAGAAAAAAAATCAATAGCACCATCAATTAGACTGAGAAAGCAATGGATTTTATTATTGTAGTGCTAAAACTCAATTTATATTTGAAATTTGTGTAATAAACAAAGGAAGGGCATTGCTGTTCGACAAACTGATGCGACAGTTTCTGTTATGCTGGCCACAAATTGTCTCTTAAGTGATTCAAATATTCCAACTGTTTATCAAAACATTTTCATCTATATGGCCAATATTTAAACTCCTTTGTTAAAAATCTGCTCAGTTTTGAATGTTCCCTGCGTGTTCTTCCTTTCTAGTCCCCTTGGCAGGTTTTTTTCCCTCATGTAAATGTTCAGTAATTTAGTCACCTTGAACATTGCTACTAAACCTATAACATTGTCTACGCTAAACATGAGCAGTCATTAGGCATATTGTACTCAATAGTTGCAGAACTTCTTTGGATGTTTACATACCTAGTTTAAGTCTGTGCTTTAAACCATAGCGTTTTATCATGTAATCTTGACTGAATCAACTTCACTATAATTTGATTTATCAACCCTTTATCCTGCTGATCAATCCAGATGACACTGATCAAAGTAACTCCTCCTTACAGGAGCTGATATTGATGCCTTATGTGTGGCTCCACGGCATGTAGAAAGAACAGACTTTTTCCAGTCTTTCTTTGAGAAATTGAAACAGCATGAAGAGATTAAAGATCTCAGGGTAAGTCTTGTTGACAGAGCGGGGGGGGGAGCAAACTGACCTACAGTGTCCTCAGATGTCCTTTGTTTGTTGTTGATGAGGCCTTTTGTTTGTTCTCTACTCCCTCAAGGCTGTTGAGGATGCTTTTGTACCAGTGATAAAATTCAAATTTGATGGAATTGAGGTGAGTTTCATTGTCACCCAAGTGATAATCATGATTACATCAGTGCATGCATACTGATTAAATTAAACTAATTAAACTACTGTGTTGCTAACATGCTTGCTGCAGGTTACTTTGTGCCATGTTGCTCTGGTCATGTTTCCCATTTCAACAAGTATGAAGAGTTAATCCCATGACGCAAACATTTTTATCTCTAATGTTTTATGTCTCTGTGTGAGCAGATTGACCTGCTTTTTGCCAGATTGGCCTTACAATCCATTCCAGACAACCTGGACCTGAGGGGAGACTCCATCTTGAGAAACTTGGACATTCGATGTATCCGCAGCCTTAATGGTGCGCTCAGTGGTCACTGCTGATCTGAGGCTTTAAGTTAAAACTGACACATCTCCAAAGTTTTCCTAATGGGAATTTCCACAACTGGTAACACTGCCTTTTTTTTTTTTTCTTTCTTACAGGTTGTCGAGTAACTGATGAAATTTTGTACCTGGTGCCAAACAAAGAGAACTTCAGACTGACACTGAGAGCCATCAAACTCTGGGCAAAACGTATGTGTGCTTGCACTTTCTATGTGTTTGCCGTTGTTCACATTTATTGTGTTTATTTGCACTTGTGTTGTGTTTCCTGTATAGAGGTTTAGGACGTGGCGTCATGCACACGTCGCTCAAGAGCTGCCATATTGGACATAATAAGCGTTAGCAATCATGTCTAATCACTCAAGTAGTTTAAATAGAAATTGGATACAGGCATCAAATAAACAGTATAACGGCATAACAAATATAAGTTACTTGAATTTTTAAAATCACCAGTGTCTGTTTGAAACAATATTTGACCATTTAAAAATTTTACATGTATTATCTTTTTGTAGTTTATTATTTTTTTTATTTTTTTTATTATTATTATCTTCATCTGCCTT